TTTTCTTACACTGTATCTTCATTTGTATATACCAACATTATCTGAGATTTTTTTCACATTTCTCTAAAGCAGGATTTCCCACACTGTGAGGTGCGCTTCTTCTAGGGAGGTGCAGAGTCCTGCAGAAGTGTCAAGAACCTACTAGTTGTGCAATGTTACAAGAAATCCACTTTTCCCAAAGCATCATCGTACTGTTCTCCTCCTTCATTTGCGCTCATTTGGGTGTTTGGATTTTTAACGGAGGTGTGTTCGTTAAGGTGACACTAAAGGGAGGTGTGGGAGCAAAATGTTCAGAACCTCTGCTCTAAAGGTGTCAAATTTTGCTAATGTAAAAGGAAAAGAAGTTCCCACAACTCAGTGGCCTAGGGTTTATATATGTGCTCCCCACAGAAAAGTAAACATACCTCCCACCTTCAAATACCGAATGGTCATAAGTTCAGTTCTTTTGAATCTTTTTCTTCAGAGTTATTCATTCATTCATTCATTCATTCATTCATTCATTCATTCATTCAAAAAGAAAAAAACTCTTTTGAGCATCAGCTTTCATCCAAGGTAGGCAAAGTATGGATTTCAGCCAACTGCTGTATTCTAGTCTGAATACCTATTTGGGGATGTGTTAACTGATCCATTTCTAGCTTCCCCCATCTCAACTCACACCAAGGAGATCCAGGAATCAGAATAGGGAAGGACTTCTCTATTTCTTCCCTTAGGAATGGGTTGGGCCGTGGTCCCTTTGTCAATCTCTTCTTCTCCAAAGCAGATCCTTCCTTGGCAATCGGGAAGCAACGTGGAGCCACAGGCAATGGGGTTTCTAAAGCCAACTCTTTTGTTTCATGCTCCCCTGCCTGATCTCCTTGAGGGATGAGTCCTTGAAGGGTGAAATAGTCCTTTGAGGATGAAAACCAACCTGCAGGAGTCTCTTTCGTATCTCTTCAGCTCAAGGGTCCCCAGCCACAGGCCAAGGTATGTTCCTTCTTGTCCCAGCCTGAAAGGAAGAGTGGAGGTTTTTGTCACAGTTCCCCATCAGAATTTACCACCGTGCAACATACTAGTTGCACTGTTCCAACTACCACAGAAATAATCTGCCTCATCTTCAGACTGCACATTTGTGATGGTTAAAGATCCTGTGGTGCCAGACCTGGTGGCCGTAAACCGATCTGGGATCCCTGGTCCCCTGCTGCTGCAGCCATCACAGTGGACAAAGCGAGGGCCTTCTCCAGATTTCTGTTGATGCCAGCTAATCCTGTTGGTACTCTGAGTTGTCCAGGGAAGGGTGACTGTTTCTCCAAGGGACACAGAGCTGGAGGAAGGCTGAGACCAGGTGGGCTGACAATCAATGCCTTTAAGGAGGAAGGGAGAAGCAGTTAGAGAGTGGGGGGAGAAAAAGAAAGAAATACTGTGAAACTGATGCATCTTCCTTTGCTCTTAGCCATTTTCAAGGGACCATGTTCTTATGAGAATCACAACCAAATATTATCTTCCCTCAGGAAAACTGAGTGTTCTGCACCTTACCTGTGCAGTAAGTGAGAAGTGCCAGGAAGACCACAGCCCAGCCCATGGTGAACTTTGACAAGGAAGATCCTCTTAGGGTGGACAATTATAAAGTTCCTGAGCTCTTCCCCTTTCCTTTCCTTAAATGCCCCAGCTTGGCCCTTCATGCAAATGAGATCTGCACTCATTGGTTCTACTAGAATATTTCATTCTCCCAAAGCATTCTGAGGTCTTCTAGTTTGGCCAATGATCACAGGACTCATTTGCATAGAGGAGATTGAGAAATGGAGGAAGATTTCAAAGGTCTCCATTAAAATCTGACCACCCAGTTGTGGACCAGGGAAACTTCTGGATTTCTCCCAACACCCTACTTTCTGCATGAATTTGACACGGAAATGCTTATGCATAAATGTAATTATCTAGTTCTACCTCATCTGAATCAGCAATTTTAAAGCTAATCTGCAATTTCTAAACAATCCCTAAACTAGCCTTAAGATAATTTTTAAAACAGCAAAAAAAGAAAAACCAAGAAGCCATTGTGCAAAGCAAAGCAGAACATTCTGATCCCCCATTAAATCTAAAACAAACCTGGCCATGTTTGCTCCTCACCCACAGAGATCCTGCACTCTCCAGAAACGCCAAGCAATCCTCACGTTCAGAAGGCGTCTGTCCTGATAGACAGATCGTAGGGTGGTTTCATCCTTGTTTTTTACACCTCTCTTCTGAACAGGGCAGATTTTGCTAGACAAATGGCCCTCTTTGGCAAATGGAGCCAGATCTGCCTAATATTTCTCTTTCGTGGATTCAGACAACTAGCAAAAATCAAATTATATTGGTTTCTTTCGATCCTGTGATGACAAAGGAAGAAGGATTTGATCACAGTACCCCAAGAAAGTTGACCACTGTGAAATATGTCACCAAACCACATTCTAGAGTGATGAGCCTCATCTTCACCCTGGATGCTGGTGATGCTCAAATGCTCACGGATCCCATACTCTCACAGTAATAATCTGCTTCGTCTTCAGCCAGCACGTTGGTGATGGTTAAATATCCTGTGCTGCCAGACTTGGTGGCAGTGAAACGATCTGGGATCCCTTCTCCCCTATTGTAGCCACCACTAGCGTGGACATAGCGAAGGCCTTCTCCAGATTTCTGTTGATGCCAGCCAATATTGTAGCTACTCTGCGTTGTTGTGCAGGACAGCGTAATCATCCCTCCCAGGGACACGGAACTGGAGGGAGGTTGAGTCCAAACCGTCTGACAGTCGATGCCTTTAAAAGGGGGAAGGGGAGAGGTGGAGAAAAAAAAACACCATCTTAGGGATGCCCATTCTTTGCTCAATGCTCTTATATAATTTGAAGAGACCATGTTCTTGTGAGAATCACAACCAAATCCTCTCTTCCCTCAGGAAGACTGAGTGTTCTGTACCTTACCTGTGCAGTAAGTGAGAAGTGCCAGGAAGACCACAGCCCACCCCATGGTGAACTTTCTAAGGAATATCCCTTTAGGATGGACAATTATAAAGTTCCTGTGATCTTCTCCTTTCCTTTCCTTAAATGCCCCAGCTTGGCCCCTTCCTGCAAATGAGATCTGCACTGATTGGTTCTACCTGAATATTGTATTCCCCCAAAGCCTTATGAGGTCTTCTAGTTTGGCCAATGATCCTAGCACCTATTTGCATAGAGGAGATTGAGAAATGGAGGAGGACTTCAAATGTCTCCATTAAAGTCTCACCAACCTGTTGTGGACCAGGGAACTTCTGAATTTCTTCAAACGCCCTACTTTATACATGAATGTCAGCCGGAAATGCTTATGCGTAAATGTAATTATGTAGTTCTACCTCATCTCGATCAGCATGTAAAAGCTAATATGCAACTTAAATAGAACCCCTAAACTAGCCTTAAGATGATTTTTTAAAAAAGCAAACAATGACAAACCAAGAAGCCATTGCGCAAAACCAACTAGAACCCCATTAACTCTAAAACAATCCTGCCCACATTTGTTCCTCACCTACAGAGATCCTTCCACTCTCCAAATAATGATCCTGACCTTCAGAAGGTGCCTGCCCTGAAGGCAGCTTATTAGCATGGCTTCATCCCAGCTTATGGCACCTCTCTTCTCAACAAGGGAGATTTTACTAGATAAATGGCCCTCATTGGCAAATGGAGACAGCTCTCCTTATGGTTCTATCTATTGGGTTCAGACAGCTCAAGCAAGATCAAATTATGTTGATTGTTCCAATCCTCTGATAATGAAGGAAGAAGGATTGTATCACAGCGCCCCAAGAAAGTTGACCACGGTGAAATGTGTCACCAAACCACAATCCGCAGCACTGTGCCTCATCTTCACCCTGGATGTTGGTCATGGTCAAATGCTCCATGATCTCCTCATGGGAATCCGTAAACGGCTGTAGGATTCCTTGTTTTTGGCTACAGCCACCACTTTGCACATATTGTGGAGCTTGTTTGGATCTTTGTGGAAATCAGTAAACAGCATTTGAGCTACTAACAGTGCAGGGGAATTTGGATGTTTGTCTTGGGGGCTCCAGATTCAGCTGCAGACTGACCTGGATGACAAGCCACACTGTTGAAGGACAAAAATCAGCGATGACCTTGAGACATTACTCTGTCTTCCCAAATATTTCAACAGTATTATTCAAAGGACAACCGCCAGCAGCTTTCTTGGCTTCCATGGAGCATCTACCCACCGAATTCCTGAACATCACTTTCCAAAACACCAGTTCTCTATAATGGAGGGACGTTCTAAACATGGCGTTAGTGTTCTCTGGGGAGAGTGCTAACTCTGTCCGGTGGAGCAGATTCCTTTCAACTGGAAAGAATCTCAGCATCTTCCACCTCTCTACCTTGTTCTATTATCATTCTTCTATTAGTATGACAATTTTTTCCTGCACTTCTGCAAAGGAGGTTTTTCACAGGGACGGACTTCATTTCTTATTTGAGGAGGCAGCGCCATTTCATGTCTCTGATGCAGTTCCAGGGCTCTCCACAGGCTGCTTCCAGGAGCTGCAGACCCCAAGGACGGATCTCCTCTCCAACTTCCCCTGTCACGTTTTTGAATCAGACCATTTATGGACATCTGTGGAGCACTGATTGGGAAGGGCAGTAGACCTGCTTAGAAATGGACCAACCTAACACATCGCTCTCTCCTAGCAATCTTTTATTCCAGCAACATGCAAAGGGTCTAAAGATACCATTCCAAGCTCCCTCCTCCATTCACCCAACCCGAACCCAGCAAAGCCCAGTGGCTATGATGTTGATAGGGATGTCTGGCCGTGCACTCCTTTTGTCAGCCCCCTGCAAGCAATGTTGAGTGAAGTGTTCAAGCAAGACTTCTACACCTTCTTAGTTTTTGTCTCAGTTCTCCATAGGGTGGAATCACTGTGCTCTGCCCGCTGCTAGCACCAGTTAAACAGTAATAATCACCCTCGTCTTCCTCTCCAATGTTGGAGATGGATAAGATGGCCGAATTGGACGAAGAGTCAACGGAACCAGAAAATCGCTCAGGGATTCCAGAAGGTCTCTTGCTATCCCCATAGATCAATGTGAGAGGACTACTGCCAGGTTTCTGCTGATGCCAGCTCACATAGTTGCTTGAAATGCTGCCACCTGTCCTTCTACAGGTGATCCTGACTGTCTCTCCAGGCAATGCTGACAGAGAAGGGGGTTGAGTCAAGGTGAACTGGGCCAAGGCACCTGCAGGTGGAAGAAATGGGGAAAGAATACAACTGAGCGGTGTCAGAGAGAAAGGCATTGTAACAACTTTAAGGAAAGTAGAAAGGGGACAAGAAAGGGATAAAATATCCAGAAAAGTAGAGCTGTGCATTAGAAGACCAAAATACATTTCACCTCCTCCTAGGAAAGCCATACTTTACCAGTGAAGTAGGTGAGGAGGAAGAGGAGGAAGAGAAACATTTGGGCCATGGCTGAGAAATGGACAACGGATCTTCTG